AGGACATTGGTCCTAATGAGGCTTCAGCAATTTAAGGGGGAAACGTGGATTCATCCAATGTAGAAACAGGCCAGAGCCGCTGAGATTTATTAAGATTTATTGTAAGCTCTTAAATAAAGTGGCTTAATAAGTATCCTATAAAAATGATAATTTCAGTATCAGTAAATCTTCCTATCAAAATGTGAAATAAGCTCATATAAAATAAATGTTCACAAGAGCTCAACTGAATATTGAAATAAAATGTTTAAAGCCCGTTTGCATTGTTGTTTAAATAAAGGCATTGTCATCTGTTACCATTTGTATTAGCTTTTCTTTTTGGATTATCTAATCCTTGTAAGAGTATAAGAGTATATGTACCAGTGTAAAACGTGCACCCACATACTTATATAACCAACCCATATGTATTAAAATTTCCTCACAGCCAGAAGCCCACTTATTATTAATTATTATGATCAGATAAGTCAAAGAAATTACACTGATTTCCGGAACGTACTTTAAACATTAGTTTAACGAAGCAAGTCATTTGACACTTTAAGGTCATGCATATTAAATACAGTGCATGCATGCAATAATGTATTCTGTGTGGGCGAGTGTTGGCCTATGCAAATGGTCCATATGTTACAATTACAAGTCATTGTTCCTGGTGTGCTTACAAATGCATTTATGCACGGGTTGGAAGTGTTGGAAGGCAGGCTTTTATACTCATAACTCATGAATAAAGTTTGCGTGAGAATGGCTTACCGACATGGGCACGGTGACAGCCTCCCAGTTGGTGTTCGATGCAGGCAAAGGAGACTCATACTGCAGAAAACAAAAATGGGAATAACTGATGTTATTGCTTATGGCTGAATAAGCTCCTAAAAAGTCTGCACACAGAGGCTACATGGATATGACACGTGACACATCAAAGGTGACTGAATGCAGAAATGTGGATACAACTGAGTAAGTTGAGGTTAAGATTGTGGGGATGAGATGAATTACCTTTAAATGCTGCTTAAGAGGACATTAAACATTTTCTTTATTGGCAAAGTCTGTAACATTTAGTAACATTTTCTAAGCCCACCCAGTCACTGCACCATCCCCTGTGACCTTTTGCAGCATACGCCTCTAATGCATGGTTTGCTATGTGAAGAAACCTAAGTGTATCTGCTCCATGGGGTGAATGACTGACCTATAGCCACTATTGGTATGTATTTCAGTGTAGTGATAATGCCACCTAAGTGACCTTTTCTCTTAAATCTCTCAGACATCACAGACATACTGCACATATTTCCACATCTTCTCAAACTGTGTTTTTCTTCACATATCAGCGAAACTACAGTTATTGTAAGTGATGATTGGATTTGAAGTCAGGCAAATAAAATCCAAGGTAAAGGTTAGGAGAGGACTGTGAAGATGAGTGAGAATGGAAACTCTGCTTGCTAAAGGTAAATGCTTCCATCTATCAATTCAATGCTCTCACATCGCTGCCCTTGAAGTCAACTTGCAGGATACGGGGTGGAGCGTTCGCATGTTTTCCAAGACATTCAGGTATCTGCCTGTCCAGATGGTAAACTGTCAGTGTGTCAGTGAAATCCTGAAAGAATTTTCAATGAAGCCGGTCACAGCATGCCTTTGTATGTGCATCTGTCTGGGAACGTAATCAGACTCTGGTCAAAGCATTTTTCGACGCTAACCGCTCATCCGACTGAATTATTTGGCACTCATTCACACATTCCTTGTCTTTTTTGCCCTTTTGTTTTCACACAGACAAACACACACACACACACAATGCCTGAGAGATCACACTTTTTACACACACATAAAATCTCTCTAGCTATCGAATCCCTCTCCTTGAAGAGTCTTAAATACCATCCCCAGTCAATGTGGAACAGTAAATCTGTCTTGACTGGACTTCAAACACACAGCGCCCTCGCTTTGTCTTAGTGTGTGCTAGTAATAGAGTTGACATCAAAGACAGTCGGTGTGCAAAGGTTTTTTGTTAAACAGATTCTTCCATGTGGCCTTTGGATAAATGTACTCATACAAATAACTGCACACTCAAACCAGCTGTGAATGAGGTCAGAAGGTTTCGTGTAAGAGCATGTGTGTGTTTGCACTCATATTACTCATGTTATGAGGACTCATACTTTGAAATTTTCATGGTAAGGTTAGGGTAAGGTAAGGTTTATGTCATGTTTGGTTATCTAACGCCTGGTTAACAGACAACAGGAAATGAGTGTACGTTGATGCAATGTCCTCTGCAGCGATAAAAACACGCCTGTGTGCTTGAGTAAATGCATGTTTATAGACGCCTAGTCCCGTTTGCTTTTAAGATCAAAAGCTTCATGTCAACCATATGGAATCCTTAATAGGATTGAATTAAGAGACTTGACTCATCACAGGGCATGGACAGAGATAATTCTTTTTAAAAATGTGTTCTCGTGCAATGGAAACAAATTTTCAGTACTCAATAGTAAAAAGATGAAAAACAGAATTTTTTCAACTCAACTCAAGGTCAATGTCGTATTAATGCAGAATGCTTGCTTCATTATTAATGTTTCATTATTTATTTGTCTATTTGGTATTTTCCTTTATTGTCTAGCCCTTTCACCAGTATGAGTCTCAGTACATTTGATGTACTGAGAAGCTATCTGATCTAAGACCATTAACAAGAATAGTGGCCTCATACAGGACCTTAAGCCATCCACTATAATTGTCCTCAAAACCAAATTTGTCCAAGCAATGAATTAAAAAGACCATTCAACTTGGTCAACAGCTTTCTCAGCATCCAAAGAGAGCACTAAATCATCAACCTGTCTATTTTCCTGAGAGCTGAGGAAACGGTGTCTTTCAGTTTAGTCTAAGGAGTTTGAAAAGAGAAGGACTGGACTTCTTGAAGAAGAAGTTCACCATGATCTGGATGTCTGAGAACCTACACACACATCTTTCAGTGTAACTTTCTTTTTTTTTGTCTACTGCAGAGGACATAATGAATAGATTCGGTCTCACGAGGGTAGGAGGGAATTCCTGGATGATACTGAAAAGATATCATTAATTTGTGAACTGTAGCAACAAAATGATGCATCTGCAGTAATGAATGATTAAATAGTCCAAATTCACTACCAAACTCATCAGGTCCAGAGGATTTCATTCTCTAAAGTTCTCATATTGGATTAAACACCTTAAACACCGCATTAAGAGCAGATTGCTGCTATGTTCATATGGTGGGCAAGCTGAGCCGGGGGAAGAACTAATTCACTGAAACAGATTTTGAATTGTAGCACCATTTTGTTGCTACAATTCAGTCCAGAGTGTACACCACCTCTTGCCCAGTGACAGCTGGAATAGGTCCCAAACCCTCAGTGACTGTGAATTGGATTAGTAGATCAAAAATGGATGAAAAGACGGATGCTTCACAAATGTTTAAGTCATGCTTTATCAGAAAATCCTGCTTTATTTTTCATCACCGTAATTTTTTTTATAGCATTACACAAGCCTAAGTGATTAACATAAAAGCAGGTCAGGTCATTATCTTCAGATTAACTGATTAAAGTTCTGCAATGTGCCCTGAACAATATATGTTAGCAGATCTAAATAAGATTCTTTGTAAATATTACGTGATAAAACAGAGAAGAGGAAGTAAAAGTCAGGAGAAAAGTTTCAGGACACACAGAGAGGAGAATCTCATTTTCCAACAACAAAGTAATGCTAATCACGGAAGCAACGTTAATATTTCAAGGCACTATACCACATTTTCTAATGTTGAGAGGATGCAGTCTTATTTACAGTAGCAGCCCGGGGCAGGGACATCAGGGAGCTGCCCTTTTCAACCTCCATTTTGTACAGTTGGACTGTGGAGCAGCTGAGGATTAAGTGAGCAGTAGATGGTGAGGAGGGAGAGAGCACTTTTCTGTCGACTTTTACCCTGCATGAGCAGCTATCTCCCTCACAGCCAGAGGACATTTAAGTTAGAAGTTAAATCACACTGACCACATTTTATGCTGTCTCATCTATGTTTGAGTCGTGCGCTAATGTTCAGCTTAGAGAACTGACAAGACTTACTGTTACAGTTCCTTGTTTAATTTATATTTATTTATTTCTCTTGTTTTTTGTAACACATATTCAACCAGAAACTAATGCAGTTATTCCTGCAGCTGTGTCAATGGAGGTTTGGTTTGTGGATCAGTGGCAGGAAATTTTAGTCCATGGACCCCACACGGCCTGTTTAGATCTCAAGTGATTAAAACTCTTGTATGTATAAAACGAAAGATTATACATAACAAACAGGTGATGTCTTGTCCGAGAAGCCTCGAAGGAAATAAGTGCAATTCCAACAACACGTCTCAGATTTTCCACATTCAGTATTTTGTATACCAGAAAAGCTGCAAAGCAAATTACCATGGGCAAAGCTCTTTGGCTTTACCACCTGGCTTCTGTGTGGCATGGCAACCCACAGGTAATGCCTTTGTCAGCAATGATGACTCACACCTCTGACTCAAATGAAATTTGCAGTTCAAAAAACCCACTCACTTTTACTGCAATTTTTCTACTTGGCAAAAACATTCAGTGGGCCCGACTGGACCCTCTGGTGTCACTCCTGATCCAGGAATAATTCAGGCTCATACTTAATGGATTACATTAAGTATGAGCCTGTTTAGTCAGTATGCAAAACATATGTCCTGTCATATGCAGTGGCTCCTTACTGTTTCTGTAGGATTTAAAAGGGTAAGTAGCAGCCAGGTGCTGATAATCAAATGCACTTGATTAACTGATTATTAGCAAGTGTTAGCACCTCGATAAAAGCAGACGTTTTACCAACTTGGTGGTCTGAAGCATTTAGATGTGCGCTACAAGCAAATTTAGCCCAAGGTTGGACCATCCAATGTTCAGAGAAACTCCCAAAAATCAAAGAGTTGCATCTGAGACTCTGTTAGCATAAGAGAAAACCAAAATAGAGCTGTTAGGGCATAACGCTCATCACTACGTTTGGTGAAAACCAAACCCAGCATATTAGCTGCACAAACACCTCATAACAACTGTCAACAAAGTGGTGGAGGGGTGATGACTTCAACTGGTTTTGCAGCCACATGACCCAGGCACCATGCAGCCACTGAGTTGACTCTAAACCCCTCTGTATACCAAATTACTCTAGAGTCAGATGTGAGGCCATCTGAAAGCTAAAGCTCGGTCTCAATTGGGTTATGTACCAGGACAATGATCCCAAGCATGGCTGAAAAGAAAAGACACAAAGTTTTGCAACTAATACTCTCTGTGCTTGACGTACCAGCACTTACTAGGAACACTACGAAAACCAATGAAAATCAATAATATTCTTACAAACATAAACAAGGAAAAGCTTCCCTTCACAGTAAATAGATGGCATATTTAGATGCTCAAAGACATTTTTGGAGCCTTTATAAAAAGATTTTCTTGTGCAATGAAATGCACCCTTTGCTTCATGTAATTCTGCAGTGCAGGTGGTGAGTAACACCAGTTTAAAACAATGTTTTAGGAGGAAACAGTGACTGACATGAATAACAAGTTAGACCTCTGACTGCAGTGATGCCTACAGGGTTTTATCTGTCTGTCTCTCGTTTGGGTGGTTTAGCAGATGTGAAATAAAGACACACATACTCACACACTCGGATACCAACTGAAATTTGACCCAAATGATGGAACTGCACTTACAATTGCTGTTTCGATTTTAAGAATAGAGTAGAAATACATTTCCATGTACTTCTGTTTATATCTAGCCACATAAATACCCCCATTGGACAAACATTAGCAAGATATCCAACTTTTTTTTGACTTGTGCTATTTTGTGCAGCACTACCTTATTTAGATCAGCATTTGACATACTGATGGTTCAAATAAACACCAGAAAGCTAGTTTAAAGAAGGAGAACATGAAGCCTAACTAATTAATGAGCAGCCATATAGGCTCATTATGAGCAGCGATGTGCCATTTTCCCCACATGTCACAGTTTAAGAATTTTCATTTTGCTTTAAAGAACACATTTTTCTTGGGTTCATATTGTGACGTACACACAAGCAGAATTGCTAGTGAGTCTGCAGCAATCTACTTCGATAGATCTGTAAACCCAAGATGTGGCAATGGATCAACACCAAATATTCAGCTAAATTTATGCTAAAGCTAAAGCTATGGTTCGTTATCCTTCCACAACTCCTCCAAAGTAGTCACACTCATGGAGGACTGAGTCTGCTGCTCTGCTTGCATGCAGCTTGTCCCAAAGTTGGGTCTTCGTATCTATGACATTAGGAAGGCCTTTTATCAAACAAACTGAGATTTAAGTAGGTTTGGATATAAAGTGTTTTAGGTGTCAACACAGCAAGAATTTAACTTTTTTTCTTTGTTTGCTTCCTTGTGTGACTCTGCTTTACCTTCCCCCAATTATAGCGACTGTTTCACTTTCCCTAATGTTTTTTTTCTTTTATCTAATCCACCTTAGTCCACTTCATATAACTTACTTCTTCACAAGAGTCTCTCTCTCTCTCTTTGTCTCTCTCAGTTCAGGTTGTTTTAGTCATTAGCTGACATGCCGATACCATCTCAGACACCTGTTCTCTCCTTCCAGTGCTGCTTCTCCTCGTTCTCTGCCTGCCTCTCCCTGCCTCTCACTTCCTCCTTTCCTCCCTCTGCCTCTTCTCCTCCTCCTTCTTATCTGTTCGACAGGTCTGGAGAGAACAAATTAGACCTGCTAAATTAAGCCACACACAAAGCTCCAGTCTAGCTGGAGGGAAACTGTGTTTATGTGTGCATGTGTGTGTGTGTGTGTGTGTGTGTGTGTGAAAGACGGAAAGAGACAAACACACACTCAAACATGGGAGCGCTTTGAAAAATGGGTAAAACTGATTAAATGAGATAAGCCTCTGGAGCTGGATTCTGCTTTAAATGTACAGAGGGGTGATTATTTGACCAGAGGAGAAATAACAAAGACTGAGGAGGGAGGGATGGCAGCGAAATGCAATGAGAGTCTGAGAGGGAGAGATAAGAGAGCAGTTTGTGGTTTACGCCAGTGGTAGGAAGTAAGTAGGTACATTTAGGCAAGTGCTCTATTATGAAGTGCTTTTACTTCATTGTCATTACATTAGGTTGAATGACATTGCTGTGTAGTGTTTGCAGTCGAGGTAGTTAAGGGCTAATTTAACCTAAACACCCTATACAGTTTATGGAGAGTACAAACTGTAATAACAGCAGGGGTAAATAAAAGTAATATGAAAATGGCACTAGGAAAGGGAAGGATCTTCAATAAATACGATATCTTTTCCTCTCTCTGTCCGCTAAGACCTTTATTCCTTCTGTGTTCACACCACTTTTGTCTCTCTTTTTTCTCGGATAATAAGCAGTGCCACCAGTTCAACCCTGTCTGTGATGCTGTGTCTCTTCTTCTCTCTGTCATAAATGAGGAAGTCTGGGAACATCTTTAAATGTCTGTGCGTCTCTCCACTGATCTTTCTCTTCCCCTTTCCCCTCTGATAATAGGGTGGGTGAACATTTCATATCGGATTCCCTCACTTTCTTCTTTCCTCTTGCCGACAGAATGACAAAGCTAATCTCCTTATCAATTTGTTTGACAGGCTTTGAGAGAACATGTTCTCATCTTTTGCCCCCAACCGTCCTGCCCTCCTTCACCTATCCCTTCATCTCTCCTCTTTTGTTGAATGGACATGTGAGAAAAGCACGGTTGGCTTACACATGTTGGCAGTCTACTGACAGCGTTACAAGATCCTGTGTTTTTTCTGTTGCTCCTGCCTCTCCTATCTATTTATCTCCATCTCATGCCTTTTCTTTATTGCCGCCACAAGTAAAATGGTCAAAGAGGCATTTTACCTAGGGCACTGCTGTGGTACTGAGTCTGAAACTGATCGGATTTAAAAACAAAAACACACTTGAATGAAGGACTTTATGTTGTGTTTCAAATAACAGCCAATAATTCGTCATCAGCCGTGTGTGTGTGTGTGTGTGTGTGTGTGTGCCCCTTACCAGTGGTGAGTAGTAGATTTTAAATCCTGGCCTTGCAACAAAGTAATCATCAGACTTGAAGGTGACTTTGAGCTTGTTGGTTTTCGAGTTTAGACTGGGTGGTGCCTTCTGCCCGCACCACCGACCCCAAATTATAGTGCTGGTCTCTGATTGGTCCTCCACTTCAACAAAGTCATACCTGCAGTGTGAGTGAGAACAACATAGAAGTATGTTAATTCGTAGGAAATAAGAGAGACTGGCTGAGGATTAAAACTGTACACACACACAAAAAACTATGTTCAAGTTAAGCACAAGTAGTTAGATTTTTGGTACTTTTTTGCACATTATTTCTGGAAATAAAAAACGTATTCTTGCTAAGGTCATGATTAAGCAGCCAGAGAACTGGAAAACAGTAAACAGCCATCACAGTTTATAAACCAATTTATCTTCATATAATATTCTTGTATTTTCTCCTGCAGGGACGAGGATTACTACTGTCAAAATTTCAGTTAACTCTTGGCCTCTGTCAACACTTTCCTGCTGAGTTTATCAGCTCAGTCACTCGTTTTGAGTCATTCTGAATAAATAAATAAGTCTATTTTGTAAATCTTGACTGTATTATGTTTTTTGAAATTAGGATTATTTAGTGGTATGAAACTAAAGATTGAGTTACGATCAATCACAAGAACGTGCCGTTTTATAGTCAAACGTGTTATTCCTCGTTGGTTTTTCTAACCAAGATGACGATGACAGAAACGCTCATCTCAAGGCTTCGAACTGGGACTGGGTTACGGTAGCTACGTCCATCTTTTATACTGTTACATCAGAATTTCTGTAACTTGTTTTTTATAAAGATGGACAAATAAAGATGATTCTGATTCTGTTCATTTTAAATAACATGCTATGGCATGACAATAGCCAAAATAAATATGCCCAAAGATTAAAAAAACAAAGCTAATTATTCGCTGCAATGCCTAAAGTTCAGTGATTTGTGGCAGAATTGATGGTCCATTTTTGCTAGCACAGCACACGTGGCAACAATAACAATTCTGTCACTTCTAAGGTTTTGCATATAAGGACATTAAAAATGATCAACTCCTTACTAGGACTTAGAATTAGATAAATACAACCTGAGACTAACAAAAAACTTGACATATCACATCACATCATGTCATTATTTATTTTATAAAAACTAAACCAAAATGCTGAAGCAATGTGTGAAAACAAAACACCTCCTGATTCAGTCGTTATTGCTTTGAGCAACAACTTGAAGTATTCTGTGCCACTTTATCTTTCTCCTCTATCATTATTTTGAGGAACCCTGGCTCACTCTTGCTTCAGTTCGTTGAGGTTTGTGGGCATTTGTTTATGCACAGCTCCTTTAACCCTGGAGAACCCATGGGGTCAGATCCGACCCCATTGGTTTACTAGGGAAACCATGGGGTCCCCTATTGACCCCATGGGTTATCCAGGGTTAAGGTTCTACCACAGTCTTCAATCGGGTTAAGGTCTGGAGTTTGGTCCATTGGGACCATTGTGGACAAGCTTTAGCTGTCAGACAGATGGCCTCACATTTTGGTATATAGAGCTCAGGATTGACTCAGTGATTGCGAGTTGGCCAGATCCTAGGGCTGCAGTAGTTGTAGTGATGGTCATCTCCAATTTAGTTCATCAGTCAAAAGGACATTGTTTGGTAAGTCTTGTGGTTGTTCAAGTGCTAACCCTGTTTAGAGAGAAGAGGCTTTCTCCTGACAAACCTTTCAATCAAGTCATAGTTGGCAGTCTTTTACTGTCATGTGTCCGCAGAGTCTGAGATATAGCTTTTTGGTTTTCGCTGTAGTTTGAGGATTTAAAAGTCTGACCTTGGCGTGAATTTGATGGGACATTCACTCCGGGAACGACTGGCAACTATCCACTTTCCACTTGGGAATAATCTTTCTCACTGTAGAATGATGGACTATAAATTGTTTGGAAATGACCATATAAACCTTCCTAGACTGAAAGGCAGCAGTACTCCTGTAAGGTCACTGCTGATGTCTTTCCTCCTTGACTTTTTGTTAACACACACCTAGATGCTCCGGACCTACAAGCTGCCGTTTTTCACTCACGGCTTCTACATTTTGGCTTAGTTTATGTTAAATACATTTTTAAGTCCTTCAAATGACTAGATGTTGTTGTTGTTTTTATCATGTCCGGATATATGACTGTCTATATGACATCACCATGGCTATAACTAGCCTCACGGGCAAAGCTAGACTTTAAAGGCTGATGAAGCAATTTTAAACGTGTCACTGACGCCAACCATAAAATTCTGTTCCAATTTTGTGCCAATCTCACGAACAGCTGGTAGATAGATGGCTAGACTGAACGCAGAGCATAACAAATAACACCAACTTTGGAATAAAGCCTATTTTTTCTTTATGGACACTTCCTCTGTAATGGTTCAGGTAACTTTTAGGGTTATGAGGCACTTTGAGTAATCAGACTTGTTATGATAGAAGTTTATGATGAGTTCTCGGCCAAGCAGACCATCACCATAAACTGCATGATAATAAGCCCACAAAGATACACACACATAATCAATGTGACAAACAAGATTTGAAAGACTGGACAAAGCTCTCTCTCCTTCTTACTACCTTTTTAATTGTCTCCTCCTCCTCTCAACCCCCCCACCCCCTGCTGCTCCCCCTTGTCTTTTCAGGAAAGTGCTTACAAAGACGGCTGAGTTGCATATGGGGATTAAAAAGTCTATTTTCTCCCTGCAGCCCTCAAGGACAAACTTCTTATAGTTCTTGCCAAGAAAGCAAACTTCAGCTATCCATCTCTCCTACAGTGATTCCAGCACCTTATACCTTTTAATATTATTTTCTCTCAGTTCATTTAAATTCCAATTTATTGTGGATCCATGTGACTACAGTACCAAATAATTCACACATATTTTACCGTTGCTATTGTTCAGACTCGAGGCTTTTACACAATACACTTTCCTGTCCTCCCTGTCACACTTCTCCATCAGTCTATCTCCTGCTCGGGTTTCTAAATCACTCTTCCTTCATCTGATGTTTCTCCTTTACAGCTGCTCAGAAATGATCAGTGTTCTTTCTTCTTTTTGTTCACTGCCTTAATCCTTGTTTCCGGTATTCTACTTTGCTCCTCTTGTCTTTTTTTTCCCTAAATGGATTTCATGTCACCCTCCTTACTTCTCTAGATCGTGTGTTGTATTGTGTCAAGTTTTACCTGCACATTCCATTCTCAGCCTCCTCCAGTCCAAAGTGTCCGTCAAACTCCAGGTGTATGCGGCTCCCTGGTGGTGACAGCAGTTTCCATGACAACAGCAGGTTGCGAGGGTAAGCGTTGGGGTAGCGTGGGCTGTGGATGACTCCACCCTGTGGCGTTACTGTGATGTTTTCCTCCTTGCGGTACAAGTCTGTGGTGAGGCGATTGCTGTCTGTTAGTGGTTACAGCTAATCAGTTAGTTAGTCAATTTAATAATAGAAGAAGAAGCAAAGCAGATTGTTCACAGATGCAATTTCACACCCAAGAGAAAAACTTTTTTAGATGTCGGCATCCACAAAGACATGCAAAAGAGGAGCACAAAACATATAAACAACAGCTCATACAGAAACAATCCTCAGCAAAGACCGAAAGACTAATTTAAATAAGAGCGTGCCGAGCACACATATTGAAATGAATCACGTAGATTTGTTTGGGTTTATCTTTATCTGTCTTTGTTTTCTAAGTGAGACTGTGGTAGTTACCCAGCAGGCCATTTCACAGTTCGAAACTTCTCCCCACTCTTTGTATCTGAAATCTTTAAACAGGCGTCTCCATACTGCAGTTTTATCGACTAATCAGCCCACATATATACTATTACCCAAAGAGTAGCCAACTATTATACATCAAATGTCTGTCTGCCCGCGATTTTCTCATACATGATAAAGGGACCACACTTCAGTGGGCACACTTAGCACACGGGTACGTCTTAATATTGTGACATCATCATGTTGTTGAGAAACCACCTGCTGATGGCAAAAGTGAACCATCTTTACCATTTTTGCATCCTATTAACCCTTTTTACAAGCAATGCATCATTTTGATGTCATGATATTTTATGTCTACAAAACCTAATTATGGCATATGCTCATACTGCGCTACGCTAATACTGATCAGTTGATAGTGGAGGCCGTTTAGTGCAGCAAACTCATCGTCATGTTCAAGAAACCAGTAAAAGATCATCTAAGTTTTGTGACATGATGCATTATTCTGCTGAAAACAGCCAAATGAAGATGGTATACTGTGGTCATACAGTGGTGCACATGGTCAGGACATGATAATTAAACAGTGCTCAGTTAGTACTAAAGGGCCCAAAGTGTGCCAAGAAAATATTATTCCAACAAGATGAACTTCAGGAGGTTGTCTCAACCATTTCTACAAATGCTTTGAGTTCCATGTAAGGTGGAACTTAATACTTAATACTGTGTACTTAATAAATGTCTAACAAGTGTACAATGAGTGTGTATAATATAACATGTGGGTTTTAGTATGAAAAAAGTCTGATATCTTTCAGATAGGGCAAAGACTTGGTTTCTATCAAACATGTATTTATATACTGGTGTCCATCAAATAACAATATTATTGTCTGACCTTTTCACACCGATTACATTTGAATATTTCAGTTCAAGTAAACATTTGTCACTAACTAAATTTGTCTTGCTATTATTATTCTGCAGAAAAGGTCAAAAAATATTCACATGCATTCCCTGAAGGTCATGAATATCAACAATAACTGGTCACCCACCAAAATCATTCAGAATAATTCTCTTGGAACCAAGAGTCATTGCTAGTTTTGGTAGCCAGGGACCGAACTGTCAGGGTCTGTGCCCTGGCAGCCGTGATGCGGACGCTGTACCGGTCTGTCGTGGTGAAGAGAGAACTGAGCGTAAAAGCGAAGCGCTCAATTTCCCGGTCGGTCTTCATCCCTACCCTCACCTATGATCACAATCTCTGGATAGTGACCGAAAGAATGAGATCGTGGACACAAGCAAAAATTAGCTTTGTCCAAAGGGTGGCTGGCCTCTCCCTTAGAGATAAGGCGAGGAGTTCGGACAATCGGGAGAGACTCAGAGTAGAGCCGTTGCTCCTCCACATCGAAAGGAACCAGTTGGGGTGGTTCGGTATCTGACTAAGCTGCCTCCTGGGCGCCTTCTAGGTGAGGAGTATTATCTGTGTTAACACATCAGTCTATTGTAACAAAAATACTTAAAGTATCTGGAAGAAATATTCTTGCTTCATGTTTATATATAGGTAACAACTTTATATGTACAGAAGGTGTATGGGTAGGTTCTAAAGTTATGCTTTAAGTAAAACGACTGCTCATTGGTGGTGAACATGAAATTACAACCACTCAAAATGCTGCCCTAACTAACCAATGCAATCATAAATCTATTTTTGACATTTCATAACAATAATCATTAATTGGCCTCACAAATCTAAATCTATTCCTGAGTTCCTGAAAATTCAAGAGGGGAAAAAAAAGCTCTTACACACACTCCCTAAGGTCAGGCTGTGTGCTGAAGTAGGCTGACAGGGCTGTATTTTCCGAGTGGTGTGTGTTTTTTAGAGCACTGAATGCATAATCAAGGCACAGCCTGCACCCCTGGGAGTTGATGGTGATGATGAAGCTTTGGCCTCCTCCTCCTCCTCTTCACTCTGAGCTTCTCTTAATTCCTCCTCTTGCTCAGCCCGGTCTTTACCTTTCACCTCCTCTCTGTGTTTCTCTTCTCTACAGTGCCGCAGTTCCGCCTCAGTCACCGGTCATTCTGCTCTCTTCAACAGTCTGCTAATTCTGGCTCCAACAGTTAACACAGCACTCCAGTGTGTATCATGGGCAGCGGGGATTAATGCAGCATGTACTTCTAGTCTGGAGCATGTGTGTAAATGTGACTGCATGTGTGTGCTGGGGCACAATTTTATTTGTAATAAAATTCTTCCGCTTTGCTGATCAGAAGCCTGGCTGTGTAAGTCCACTCAGTCAAAAGAAGTGCTTATATGTGAGGAACTCTAATCTAACTATATCCCTGGTGAACAGAGTGTGTCTGTTTCAGTTCTTTTCATAAAGAATTTGCATTAAACCTCATGTGACTGCAAGTGGTCGCAAGCACAGCATGTGCATTGCTTACAATGTCCAATACATATAACCGTAAATACACGTTAGTGCCACTTTTTAACACACCATGAAGCATCGATATGCTGAAATACATCAAGAGATAGAAGTCAGTGCTTCTGACCATGAAATAATCTAGCACATAATTGCTGTAAAGCCACAACCCAATTAATGCCCCCATCCATTAATGCACCTGTCCATGCGCACAGGTCTATCTGTGTGTAAGAAGAGGGCAGACACTAAAATGAGGAAATATGCAAATGTGCTTGAAAAGCAGTGAGCTCTTCTGGATGATGTTCTGCAGTCACATCATGACCTTAATATAAATCATGCAGTGATGTCAGTGACACTGTTGCAAATTAATGCAAATGATACAGTGATTATAAAGGAAGTTTCTATTAAAGATCCAGTCCACAGAATCAACAGTGGGAGAAACTAACTGGTGCAATTTATCAGACTGCTGAGGATTCTCGGTAAATGGCTCACACGGACTAAGCAGAATCCGGAAACCAGCAGACATATCAGCGGGCACAGATGGATATGCAGTGCAGTCTGGAAATATTAGGACAGGGACAGATTTAGCTCAGGTTTTCACAGGTTTGTACTTATATTAGTCTTTTTTTAAATTGTCATTTTCATTTTCTGATAAGATTAACTTCAATCTGTTTCCACGGTGAGGTGGCTTTGTTCAGTGTAGGTTCTACTATTATTATTATTATTATTTAAAATATCATTATTAATAATTTAATTAGTGATTATGGCTGTAGGAATGTGAATGTATATAGGGCTCTTCTATAGGTCCTGCGATGGAGTTGTAACATCTTGCTACGTGATAGTCCACTCCAACCCATCTGCCATTAATTATTATTATTCCTTGCTGTTGTTATTTCTATTTTTGCAAGACATAAGCCTCAGTCACATTATAACTTATTGATTATAGGATCTTTAATCTAAACTAGTCATATAATTTATATGAAATGAAATTGGGCAGAAAGTCAACATTCTGCAGTCACAGAAAATGATATTGTGCTGATAATATCACTGTCTGACTCAAATCCTACATTTAGCCACCCCCTCCAACCCCCACCATCTTGCTCACACACACAAACACACACGCACATTGTCGTCTGCTCCACACTCACAAACTCACCACACAGTCACGCAGCATCATTGTCACAGTTATTTAAGTGTCAGATCAGGAGTCTGAGAGTTTAATTGGCAGTCAGTTTCTGTGTGTGTTAATCATTTTGCGAGGACCTACAACCTGCTACTTTATGGGTCTGTGTCTTCCTTATGAGACAAAAAAACAAGTACCTTAAATTTAAATCCTTCCCTATTCGAGATGAAGAGCTCTTTATAAAGTTGGCTTTAGATTAGGGTTTGTAGTAAAGCATTAGCGTTTTGATAAGGTTAGAGTACGTTTCTATCAGATGAATGGAAGTTAATGCAATGTCCTCTGAAGTCATGGATACATGGCTGTGTGTGTTTATGGATGTGGCAGGTTACAAGAAAAAGGTTTAGACTATACATGTGTGTATTTGGATGCATGCATGTCTTGAAGGATGTATGTGGTTAATTTTTCACTAATTAAATTTAACTCTCCCACCTCCAGTGTCAGAGTGTAATGTTCTCCATGGTGCTGAAATCTATTTCTGATCCGAGTGCCAATCACACTCTAATCACCAGCAACATGATGCATCACGGAAGGAAAAATAGCTCTTTAGAGAAAGCACTGAAGTTGCTCGGAGGGAACTGATGTTGAAGCTAAGATATGAAACTTTTATATTTCTCTCTTAATTAAAATCAGATTTTGGTGAAGTCACATGTGTGCAAAGAGTAAATATTAAAAAATAAATCTATTTTTTAGTTCAAGTGTCTGTTCTGTGTGAAGCAAACTCTGTTTTTCTTGAGTGACAGTTTACATACTGTATGATGAATTCCCACACAGAGACACAGTCCCAGAGGACATTACCTATAACAAGGCGACCCCATTTCTTACATCTGCCATCCCCTGTCTAACATATCCTGTCTGACTTTCATCTCCTAACAATGAATTCTCATAACTTTCACACACAAACACACACATATACAAGACAGCAGGACACATGTAATGGATTCACTTTCAGCTGTGAAAAACTACCCAGAGATTGCTGTTTTCATTCAAGGTGGCACTACTAAAAAAGCAGGTGTTTATTTTTGATGTGCTTCATGATTATTAACTAAGTATTTACACCTGTTTCAAAAATCACAGTTAAGTATTTAAT